CCCTGTGACTGAGCCTGTGTGTGTGTGTGTGTGAGGCCCTGTGACTGAGCCTGTGAGAGTGTGTGAGGCCCTGTGACTGAGCCTGTGTGTGTGAGTCTGTGAGGCCCCGTGACTGAGCCTGTGTGAGTGTGTGAGGTCCCGTGACTAAGCCTGTGTGAGTGTGTGAGGCCCTGTGACTGAGCGTGTGTGTGTGTCTATGAGGCCCCGTGACTGAGCCTATTTGAGTGTGTGAGGCCCTGTGACTGAGCCTATTTGAGTGTGTGAGGTGAGGCCCTATGACGGAGGCTGTGTGAGAGTGTGCGAGGCCCCATGACTGAGCGTGTGTGTGTGTGTGTGTGTGTGTGTGTGTGTGTGTGTGTGTGTGTGTGTGTGAAGCCGGCCCACGTGGTGGCCGGGCTGCCCGGCCTTGTGGAGGAGCACGGCCGCAGGCAGACACGGTGTCCTGACCTGTGCCCTTGCAGCACACGCCTGCCGCCAGCCAGAGACGCCAGCGCACGCCGACGTGCGGGCCATCGACCTGCCGTCCTTCGGCTACACGCTCATCTACTCCTGCCACCCCGGCTTCTTCCTGGCGGGCGGCTCGGAGCACAGGACGTGCAGAGCGGACATGCGGTGGACGGGGAAGTCGCCAGTGTGTAAAAGTAAGTTGCTGTCGAGGAGGGGCGGCGGCCGGGGCCAGCTCTGTCCCCTCAGAATGGCCGCCCAGCAGCGGCGGGGCCCCCTGCTGGCTCGTGCGTCCGTGAGCCTGTGCACGCAAGCTTTGCGCAGAGCGTCGCCAGCCGGCGGCGGTTTAGACGAGGTGGGCAGCTATTTGGTCGGAGAAAAGCATCACGCGTCAAAAGGAAAGTAAAATATGATGTGTTCAGGAAATACATTTTTAAGTGAAAATAGGCAAATGCCGTTGAATACCGGTGACGAATAACCCGGCTCGTGTTGCCCTCGACCAGCTTTTCAGAGTTGTGACAGTAGCTGGCGCGGAAGGCGCCGTGCTCGCCGCGGATCTGCAGCTCGGGCGTGGCGGTGGCTCTGGCTGGGACGCGTGGCGCGCCCC